TCTTTGGTACCTGGTAAAATTATGTTTGTTTTTTTTTTTTTTTGCTGGGAAAGAGTTGCCCTGAGATAACATCGGATGCCAATATTCCTCCTCCCTAAAGCTCCAGTACATAGTTGCACATTCTAGTTATAAGTCCTTGTAATTCTTCTATGTGAGCTGCCACCACAGCATAGCTACTGACAGATGAGTGGTGTGGTTCTGCACCCAGGAACCAAACCTGGCCGCCAAAGTGGAGCGCACAGAGCTTTAACCACTAGGCCAACAGGGCTTGTTCTATATTTGTTTTCTTTCAGTTGTTTTTATCATTAAAACATCATCATCAATTGACTGCTAAAATATTCTATATTTCTAAAACATTAGAGAAAAGTCTTGTAGAATGTTCCTGTAGAACTGCCAAAATCTGTGTGTGAGTTTCATCTTGGTTTATATGAACCAAATGAATAAGAAAGTCAACAGAAACCGGAAGATTCTGACTCTGATTTGGTGTTGAAATTTTCCTAGCAAATCTGATTTAGTCATATACATTGTTAAAGGTTTGAACTCTGTTGTGCTTGTTTAGATTTAGATTTTGCTTTTTTCATTAAAAAAATTTAAATTAGAGGGGCCAGCCCCATGGCGCAGCGGTTAAGTTTGCATGCTCTGCTTTGGCAGCCCGAGGTTCGCCAGTTCGGATCCTGGGTGCGGACCTACTCACTGCTTATTAAGCAGTGCTGTGGCAGGCATCCCACATATAAAGTAGAGGAAGATGGGTATGCATGTTATCTCAGGGCCAATCTTCCTCAGCAAAACAAAAAGAGGATTGGCTGCAGATGTTAGCTCACGGCTAATCTTCCTCAAAAAAAAAAAAAAATGTTAAATTAAGGCACCAGGTTGCTATATGAGGATATATGTATCTTAAGAATTTAACTATAGGTACGTTAGCCACCATTTAGAACATGCTATTTAGGCCACCACATTTTTCCTTTCTAGAGCTGGGCTCTGGTTTCTAGATCATTTGTGACAAGCGGCATTTTATGTATATTTATATAGTTATATTCATGGATTTGCAGACCTTTGGCATTCTCTCTGATTTTAAGGTATGGGGAAGAGACTTCTCTAGGCAATAATGTGCCTAAATTTGGCTGCATCTCAGAATCATGTGAAGTTGTTAAAAATAAAGAATACTGGTGATTCAGTTTAATTGGATTCGTATGGGGTGTAGGCCAGATAGCCTTCATTTTACATTTTAGAATTGCTTTTCTTGAGGCCTGGAACTTCCCCCCAATTTTTTTTCAATAATTTATTGAGGTGTGAAATTCATGTACATAAAATTAACTTTAAAGTGGACACAATTCAGTGGCATTTAGTACATTCCCAGTGTTGTGCAACTACCACCTCTATTTGTAAAGCATTTCTTCCACTCTAGTGTAAAACACCTTACCCGTGAAGCAGTTTCTCCCCATTCCCATTCCCCCCTAGTCTCTGACAACCACCAGTCAATGTTCTGTGTTTACGTATTTATCTGTTCTGGATATTTCATATAAATAGAACCATACAATACGTGACCTTTTGTGTCTGGCTTTCACTGAGCATAATATTTTGGAGATTCATCCGTGTTGTAGTATGTATCACTACCTCATTCCTCTTTATGGCCAAGTCACATTCCATCATTTGGATAGATCACAGTTTGTTTATCCATTCATCTATTGATGGACATTGGTCTGTACCCACCTTTTGAATATGTGAACAGTGCTGCTGTGACCATGTGTATGCATATACTTTACTTGTTTAAGTACCTTTTTTGGTTCTTTTGGTTACATACCTAGGAGTCAAATGGTAATTCTGTTTTACTTTTTGAGGAACTCCCAAATTTCTACAGCAGATGAATGATTTCACATTCCCACTAGCAATGTACGAGGGTTCCAGTTCCTCCATATCCTCCCTCACTCACACTTGTTATTTTCCCTTTTTGTGTTTGTTTTTATTATAGCCAGTCTAAGGGGATGTGAAGTGATATTTCATTGTCATTTTGATTTACATTTCCCTAATGACTAATGATGTTGAACATCTGTTTATGTGTTAATTGGCCATTTATGTAAGTATCTTCTTTGGAGAAATGTCTGTTCAAGTCCTTGGCCCATTTTTTAATTGACTGCTTTGTCTTTTTGTCTTTGAGTCGTAGGATTTCCTTATATGTTATGGATATTAAACCCTTATCAGATGTATGACTTGCATATATTTCCTCCCATCTGTATAGGTTGTTTTTTTCATTTTCTTGATAATGTCCTTTACGCAAAAGCTTTTCGTTTTGATGAAATGTAGTTTATCTTTTTTTTTTTTTTACTCATTGGTCATGCTTTTGGTGTCGTATCTAAGAATCCACTGCCAAATTCAAGGTCATGAAGATTTACCCTTAGGTGTGTGTGTGTTTTTTAAGAGTTTTATGATTTTAGCTCTCAGATATTTGTTCTATTTTGAGTTAATTTATATATGGTGTGAGTCAGGAGTCCAACTTCATTCTTTTCTTTTTGGAAGTCCAGTTGTCCCAGCATCATTTGTTGAAGACTGTTCTTTTCCCATTGATTGGACTTAGCATCCTTGTCAAAAATCAATTGGCCTTTCACAAGATTGTAAACTATCATAAACTCAATAAAAATTAACTTAAAAAAAATCAATTGGCCATGGATGTATGGGTTTATTTATGAACTTTCGATTCTGTTCCATTGGTCTCTATGTCTATCATTATGCCAGTCCTAAATTGTCTTGTTAACTCTGGCATTATATAGTAAGTTTTGAAATCAGGAAATGTGAGTCCTCCAATTTTATTCTTCTTTTTCAAGATTGCTTGGCTATGTGGGTTCCTTAAATTTCCATATAAATTTTGGCATCAGTTTGTCAATTTCTGCAAAAAGAAAAGCTGGATTTTGATTGAGATTGAACTGAATCTGTAGATCAAGTTGGGGAATATTGCCATCTTAACACTGTCTTCCTGCCCGTGAACACAGGATATTTTTCTGTTTATTTAGGTCATCTTTAATTTCTTTGAGCAACGTTGTGTAGCTTTCTGTGTATAAGTCTTTCACCTCCTTGGTTAGATTTATTCCTAGGTGTTTTACTCTTTTAATGCCACTGTAAATGGAATTGTTTTCTTTTTTTTTTTTTAAGATTTTATTTTTCCTTCTTCTCCCCAAAGCCCCCCAGTACATAGTTGCATATTTTTAGTTGTGTCTCCTTCTAGTTGTGGCATGTGGGATGCCACCCCAGCATGGCTTGATGAGCGGTGCCATATCCGCGCCCAGGATCCGAACCAGCAAAACCGTGAGCTGCCGAAGCAGAGCGTGCGAACTTAACCACTTGGTCACGGGGCTGGCCCCTGGAATTGTTTTCTTAATATCCTTTTTAGATTATTCATTGCTGGTGTATAGAAATAAAACAGATTTTTGAGGGGCTGGGCCTGTGGCTCAGTAGTTAAGTTCACACACTCCACTTCAGTGGCCCAGGTTTCGCCGGTTTGGATCCTGGGCGCAGACTTAGCACCACTCATCAAGCCATGCTGAGGTGGCATCCTACATAGCATGGCCAGAAGAACCTACAACCAGAATATAAAACTATGCACTGGGGAGCTGTGGGGAGAAGAAATTAAAAAAAAGATTGGCAACAGATGTTAGCTCAGCTGCCAATCTTTTAAAAAAATAACAGATTTTTGAGCACTGATCCTGTATCTGGCAACTTTGCTCAATTTATTAGCTTTAGTAGCTTTCTTCTGAATTCTTTGGAATTTTCTTTGTCATTTGCGAATGGAGATAGTTTTACTTCTTCCTTTCTGATTTGTATGCCTTTTGTTTCTTTTTCGTGGCTAACAGCTCTGCCTGAAGCTTCCAGGTCAGATAGCAGGTCAATAGCAGGTCAAAGTGGGTTTCCTTGCTTTGTTCCTAATCGTAGGGAGGAAACCTTTCACCATTGAGTATGATGTTAGCTGTGGAGTTGTTGTTGTTGTTGTTGTTTGGGGGAAGCCTGGCCCTGAGCTCACATCCATGCCCATCTTCCTCTGCTTTATATGTGGGACACCTACCACAGCATGGCTTGACATGTGGTGTGTAGGTCCGCACCCAGGATCTGAACCAGCGAACCTCGGGCTGCTGAAGTGGAACATGCGAACTTCATCGCTGTACCACTGGCTCGGCCCCAGCTGTGGGTTTTTCATAAATGCCCTTTATCATATTAAGATAGTTCCTTTCTATTTATGGTTTCAGAGTGTGTTTATCATGAAAAAGAATTGGGTTTTGTCAAATCCTTTGTATCAGTTGAGATGCCCATCTTTTAAAATGTCCTTCTAAGTACAAATCTGTTTGTTATTCTACTATTCAGAAGTGTTATTTATACACGTACTAAACTCTAAACAAAGTAACGTACTCCTCTGGCTCAATTCTTGTGCTGTTTTTCGTTCCAACTGGGTTCTTTGCTATTTTGGTAGGTGGAATAATGGTCCCTCAGAGGTGTCTTCATCCTAATACCTGGAACCTGTGATAGGTTAGGTTACATGTTAAAGAGGAATTAAGGTAGCTAATCAGCTGACCTTAAAATAAGATTATCCTGGATTACCCGGGTGGGCCAGTGTAATCACCAGGGTCCTTTAAAGTGGGAGAGGTAGGCAGAACATGAGAGTGAGAGGAGATGTGACTTTGGAAGAAAGGCCCAGAGAAATGCAAGATTGCTTGCTTTGAGGACTAGAGGAAGGGAGCCAAGAGCAAAGGAATGTGGGTGGTCTATAGAAGCCAGAAAAGGCAAGGAAAGGGATTCTGTCTGAGAGCTTCCAGGAAGGAATGCATTGCTGCCAACACATTTGCTTTAGCTCTCTGAGAGCAGTGTCAGACTTTGACCTACAAAACTGTAAAATAATAAATTTGTGTTATTTTAAGCCATTAAGTTTGTGGTATTTTGTTACAGTGGCAATAGAAAACAAATAGAACTACCTGAGCATATTTTTTTCTACCATTTATGATATTGGTTTATTTCTCCAGGCAAACTCATGTCTAAATTTCCCTTGGGTTGTTAAAATTGTACTCATTATTCAAGGTGCATCTCAAAGCTTCGTCAACCACACCAGTTCCCAGGTATCCTCTGTCCCAGTGTACTTAGCTTTTTCTCCTTTCTGTCATGCTTTTTTACCTTCCTCATAGCATCTAACAATAATACAGAGTTTTAGAATATAGTATTTGGTATTGATTTTATTAAAATTTTATTTTTCCTTTTAAAAATGTTTTATTATCTTGATATAGTTGTGTATTTGTGTGTAAGTCTAAATTTGGGTTGTATGTGTAAGATTATTGCACTTTATATAGTTAGACCTCTAATTTTTTAAAAATTTGAATCTTATCTTTCATTTTAGACCAAAAGATAGGCAACTATATCCCACTCAGTCTTGTCTTTTCTATTGAATAGCAGTCTGTATTGCATGTGGAAGGCAATCCATATGGGTTCCACTTAAACTAAATATACTTGTGGATTAGGTCCTATAATTTAAATTTATGAACCAAAATATCATAACCATAGTGGTGACTGCTTCTGTCCATATACTGAGGGAGTTATAATTGAGTTGTTACAAGGCATAGTTTCAGTTTATGTAAACTATAGTTATTCAAACCGGTGATTGATATTAAAGGTGATTGTAGCATCTCTCTAGGCAGATTTTAAGTGAGGTCAAGTTTTTGTTTGTTTCTTTTTATGTATTTTAGGTATAGATGTGTCTGAAAATAAGGAGTTATTTAGTTGCTTCTCAAGACTGTCTTGAATCTTGACTTAACCATGTTTGTCTATTTCTATTTTTAAAGGATTTTTTTAAAGATGATGCTACAGACATACTCTTTATTTTTAAACTAAGAAATGTGTCTTGGAGATGGTTCAAAATTTTGTAATACAGATGTTTAATTCTTTTTAAAAGTTGATTCCAAACATGAAAAAGCAGAATTGTTTTCTCCCCTAAGGATAAGAAGACAAGTTTTATAAGAAGGAAAGGAGCTTTAGGAGAACTGATGTCCCTTTTTTACATCATATTTGTGAGTATTTACTGAGTGGGATCCTTGTGTTTCGTAGAATGGAGACGTATGCATTTCGATTCTTCATCCGCCTGTAGATGACCCACAGAGTGGAGAGCTGCCCTCGGAAAGGTGGAATCCTACTCAGAATGTCAGGTAAGGGTTTACATAAGGAATAATGTGGTTTTTAGGTGGTCCTTAAGATGAGGTATTATCTTCTAACACGTACAAAAAGAATCCTGTATTTGATTGTTTTCTCTTCTGCTAGAGCTTTAAGTAGCATGTATGCATTATTTTCAAGGGTTTTATTAACGGAGCAGTAGTGCATATGTTACTCATATTTTTGTGTTCACCTTGGAAGAATTTTCTAGCCTGAATTCTTCCTCTCACATTAAGTTCCATCCTGCTTCTTTGGATCTCATGACTTCCATGTTTGGGTTGGTTGCTTCCTTACTCTAGGATTCTTACACTTTTTGCATAAAAGTGTGAGTCTTTATAAACTCAAAGTTGCCTTTACATACTACAGTTACAACAGCTTTCAATATCTGTTGTTTTTTTGTTTTATATGTATGTGGATGTTTCCTAAGATTTGAAGGCTTGTATATTCCTTGTGATTGTTCATCTGTTGATTGATCCATGTAGATAGATGGATATTTAGTCATGTATTTGTTTAGAATAGAAGTCTATGTGTGGGCATTGGTCACAGAACCCTTAAAAGAATTTTGAAAAACTATATACATTGTTACATTTTTGTTTTTTTGGGGTTTTTGGTGAGGAAGATTGGCCCTGAGCTAATATCCATTGCCAATCTTCTTCTTTGTGCTTGAGGAAGATTGGCCCTGAGCTCTCATCTGTGCCAGTCTTCCTCAGTTTTATATGTGGGACACCGCCACAGCATGACTTGATGAGTGGTGTGTAGGTCCACCCCAGGATCTGAACCTGCGAACCCTGGGCCCCCACAGTGGACCACACAAAGTTAACCACTGTGCTACCGGGCCAACCCCTGTTGCATGTTTTTTAAGTGCAATTTTTTGAGGGGGGAGGGGGCGGTGAAGATTAGCCCTGAGTTAACATCTGCCACCAATCCTCCTCTTTTTGCTGAGGAAGACTGGCCCTGAGCTAACATCCATGCCCATCTTCCTCTACTTTATATGTGGGATGCCTACCACAGCATAGTGTGCCAAGTCGTGCCATGTCCACACCCGAGATCCGAACCGGTGAACCCCAGGCTGCCTAAGCAGAATGTGCAAACTTAACTGCTATACCACTGGGCTGGCCCCTAATTACAATTTTTTACATCACAAATTTAAATAGTTAAAAATACGTTTTTTCTCCTTACATTCAAATTTCCATTTCACTACCCCTACTGAGTTTTATCCTAGTACTTGAAACTTTTATGTTCAATAGCCTTATATTATTTATCCTATAATATTTTTCTGCAACAAATCTGCATATGTTTGTAATTGCTTTTTACAGTAAGGCTCTAGTTAAACTTATTTTTATATTGAGTTATTTTATTAATATAAGTTGATTAAAAGCAATACAAATGTGTTACACTTTTGATATACTTTTGCCTTTTATATTTAATAATTATTAGAAATGCATTGTTAATCAGATAGACAGTTGTTTATGGTTAGTTCATATATCCCTGGATAATAATTACATTGCTAGAATGGGGCAAAATACAGCTTCAATTTTATATACGTATGTGTATGAGTAATATACATTTTATTTAAACTAATGTATATTAGTCACTGTGTGTATATATCTGTATACATGCATATATGTACATGTGTATACACACACACGGACTAAGGACTAATATATATATATTAGATGTAATGATTAAGAAATCTTACTTATATATGATAATGGAATAAAATTTGTAGGGCTGTGAAACTAACATCCTTTTAATTCCTTCTGAATTATTTGACAAAAATCATGTAGCAATCTGTTGTCAGTCTTTAAAAAAAAGTTTGGGGGCCGTCCCAGTGGCGTGGTGGTTAAGTTCGCACGCTCCACTTCAGCGGACCAGGGTTTCACCAGTTCGGGTCCTCTGTGCAGATGTGGCACTGCTCATCAGGCCATGCTGAGGCGGCATCCCACATGCCACAACTAGAGGGGCCCACAACTAAAAAAAATATACAGCTATGTACTGAGGTGATTTGGGGAGAAGAAGGAAAAACAAAAGAAGAAGATTGGCAGCAGATGTTAGCTCAGGTGCCAGTTTTTTAAAATAAATAAATAAAAATAGGGGCCGGCCTGGTGGTGCAGCGGTTAAATTCTCACGTTCCACTTCTCTGCGGCCCGGGGTTTGCCGGTTCGGATCCCATGTGTGGACATGGCACCGCTTGGCACGCCATGCTGTAGTAGGCATCCCACATATAAAGTAGAGGAAGATGGGCATGGATGTTAGCTCAGGGCCAGTCTTCCTCAGCAAAAAGAGGAGGACTGGCAGTAGTTAGCTCAGGGCTAATCTTCCTCAAAAAAATAAAATTAAATTAAAAAACCGTGCTGTGACGGCGTCCCATATACAAAATAGAGGAGGATTGGCATGGATGTAAAACGCTCAGGGACAATCTTTCTCAAGCAAAAAGAGGAAGACTGGCAATGGATGTTAACCCAGGACCAATCTTCTTCACTAAAAAGAAAAAGTTTTATTGAGATATAATTCCCATACTATATAATTCTCCCATTTTAAGCGTACAATTCACTGTTTTTTAATATACTCACAGAGTTCTATACTCATCACCACAATCAATTTTAGAACATTTTCATCACCCCTGAAGAAATTCATACCTATTAGCATTTGTACTCCATTACCCCTCAACCCTGAACCCCACTACCATAGCCACAGCCCTCGGAAACCATCAGTCTACTTTCTGTCTCTATGGATTTACTTATTCTGGACGTTTGATATGAATGGAATCCTACAACATGTAGTATTTTGTGACTGGCTTCTTTAACTTAGCATGATATTTTCAAGGTTCATTCCCATCATGGCATCTATCAGTACTTCATTCCTTTTTATGGCTGAATAATATTCCATTGAATGATAATTCATCAGTTAGTGGACATTTGGGTTGTTTCAACTTTACGGCTATTATGAATAATGCTGCTATGAGCATTGTGTACAAGTTTTTACATGTTAATATGTTTTCATTTCCTTGGATTTATACCTGAGAGTGGAATTGCTGGGTCATATGGTAAATCAATGTTTCATTTTTTGAGGAACTGCCAGACCATTTTCGAACATGGCTGCACTAAATAGTACATTCCCACCAGCAGTGTGTGACGATTCCAGTTTCTTCACATCTTTGTTAACACTTGTTATCTGTGTTTTTTATCATAGCCATCCTAGAAGGTGGAAGTGGTATCTCATAACTTTTACACGTTTCGAACAATTTTAGAAGTTCAGAAAGATTGTGCACAAAGTACAAGTAGTTCCCATATATCCTACACCTGCCAGTTTTCTTTATTATTAACTAATGTTAGTATGGCTCGTTTATTACAATTAGTGAACCAATATTATTAAATTATTATTAACTAAAGTCCGTGCTCTTTCACCTTTCCTTAGTTTTTACCTGCTGTCGTTTTTCTTCTCCAGGATCCCACACATGATACTACGTTATATTTAATAGGCATGTACTCTTAGGCAACTGTGACAGTTACTTAGACTTTCTTTGTTTTTGATGACCTTGACAATTTTGAGGAGTACTCATCAGGTATTTTGTAGAATGTCCCCCCAATTGAGAATGTTGTGATTTTTAGACTTGGGTTATCCTTATTGGGGAGGAAGACAGTGGAGGTAAAGTACGTTTTCATTACTTCATACTCACAGGGATGTGCCATCAACATGATTTATCACTGTTGATGTTAACATTCATCGTCTGGCTGAGACTCTGTTTTTAGGATTTCTCTGCTTACTGTAAAGTTACTCTTTTCCCCCTTTCCATTCTGTACTGTTTGGAAGAAAGGAAGTCATACGTGCAGCCCATGCCTAAGGAGGGGGCCGGGATATCTGTATAAATTATTTCAAATTCTTCTGCACAGGAGGTTGATCTGTTCTCCCCCCATTTAATTATTTATTGAATCATTTTGTTAATCATTTTTATTTTTATTTTTTATTGAGTTAATGATAGGTTACAATCTTGTGAAATTTCATTTGTACATTATTGTCTGTCAGTCATGTTGTAGGTGCACCCCTTCACCCTTTGTGCCCACCTCGCCTACCCCCCCCCCCTTTCCCCTGGTAGCCACTAATCTGTTCTCTTTGTCCACATGTTTAAATTCCTCATATGAGTGGAGTCATACAGAGATTGTCCTTCTCTATCTGGCTTATTTCACTTAACATAATTCCCTCAAGGTCCATCCATGTTGTTGCAAATGGGACGATGTTGTTCTTTTTTATGGCTGAGTTGTATTCCATGTATATATATATATACATGCCACATCTTCTTTGTCCAGTCATCTGTTGATGGGCACTTAGGTTGCTTCCACATCTTGGCTATTGTAAATAATGCTGCAGTGAACATTGGGGTGCATGGGACTTTTGGAATTGCTGACTTCAAGCTCTTTGGATAGATACCCAGTAGTGGGATAGCTGGATCGTATGGTAGTTCTATTTTTAATTTTTTGAGGAATCTCCATACTGTTTTCCATAGTGGCTGCACCAGTTTGCGTTCCCACCAACAGTGTATGAGGGTTCCTTTTCCTCCACAATCTCTCCAACATTTGTTACTATTTGTTTTAGTTATTTTTCTCATTCTAATGGGTGCAAGGTGCTATCTTAGTGTAGTTTTGATTTGCATTTCCCTGATGCACAGTGATGATGAGCATCTTTTCATGTGCCTATTGTCCCTCCGTATATCTTCTTTGGAGAAATGTCTGTTAATGTCTCCTGCCCATTTTTCGATCGGGTTGTTTGATTTTTTTGTTGTTGAGTTGCAAGAGTTCTTTATATATTATGGATATTAAGCCTTTGTCAGATGTATTACTTGCAAATATTTTTTCCCAGTTAGCGGGTTTTTTGTTTCAATCCTGTTTTCATTTGCCTTGAAGAAGCTCTTTAGTCTGATGAAGTCCCATTTGTTTATTCTTTCTATTGTTTCCCTTGTCTGAGAAGACATAGTGTCCGAAAAGATCCTTTTAATACT